TGATAGCATTGTAGTAGCCAAGGATTTTAAAAGCAGAAGGGAACAACACAAAAAAATAAATCATTTAGTGTCCTAAAAATCATCTTTATCGTCCTTTTTGTAATCATTTTTAGTGCTCTTTTGTAAAAGAATCCAGTTTTTATGCGTTTTGTGCTGTGTATCAGTAGTACAAAACGTATATTGTCACGGGGTCGTGTGTGTGTGTGTGTGTGTACCACATTTTATTCCGCAGTTTCATCTCGGAAACCACAAAAGCTAGGCGGTTGAAATCTTAGTATAGTATTCCCCGCAAATGTATGACGCGGCAGGTTTAAGTTCAGCCTTCCCGTACGCGCAGGTAACACGTACGACCCCGTAAAAGTTTTTTCGGCTAAAATTATTATCACGGGAACCAAGTAAGCTAGAAGGCTGAAATTTTTTGGGGACGTACTCTGCTCCTGTGCTACCCAGAAAATGTCGATACAGCTCCCCCCTGCCGGCGGGTAACAAGTACGGCCCAATGAAAATTTTTGACGGGTAAATTATTATCTCGGGAACCACAGAATCTAGGAAGCTGAAATTTTAAGGTAATGACTCCCTGCCCACGAACGATCTTGCAAATTCATATTCAGTGTTCCTGAGCTCTTGGCTAACCCTACAGGCCAGTGAAAATTTTTGCGGATAAATTATTATCTCAGAAACCATAAATTCTACGAAGCTGAAATTTTAGAATAATGGTCCCTTGGCCATGTACAACGTTGCAAATTCAAATTCAGCGTCCCCGCACTGTCAGGTATCATCTACGGCCCCGTGAAAACTTTTTATGGGTAAATTATTATTTCGGGAACCACAAGGTCTAAAAAGCTCAAATTTAGGGCAGTGACCCCTTGCCCACGTACAACCTTAAAAATTCAAATTCAGCGTTCCCGCGCTCTCGGGCATCACTTACGGCTTCGTGAAAATTTTGACAGGTTAACTATTATTTCGGGAATTACGGGAAGATATTCATCCTTCAAGGTTTCAGTTTCAGTTTTCGTGCGCCGGTGGGTGAAGTTTTTAACTACTATTCAACGTTTTTGCATTTTTCCCCTCCACTCACCAACCTTCCTCCACTCACCAACCTTCCTCCACTCCCCAACCTTCCTCCACTCCCCAACCTCCCTCCACTCTCCAACCTCCCTCCACTCACCAACCTCCCTCCACCACTTCCCAACCTCCCACCACTTCCGAACCCCCCACCAATTCCCAACCCCGCGCCACTTCCCACCCTCAAGCCCCCTGATTTTATAAAATTTACAAACTAGTCCCAACTGCCAACTCCGAGCAGCCCATAATTGGGACAACAAAATGTGGCGATAGACTGCCCGTCACATCGCCGTGTAATTTGAGTTGTACGGCTGTCACCGAGACTGAACCTAGTCGAGAATGCAACAGTGAGTGGATTCTCGACTAACAGTGCCTAGTGATGCAGACAGTACTCTCTTACTAAGCGCACATAAGACACTAGGACGCTGATCTCTGAACCGTTACATGTACAGTAAAAACAGGCTCCGTATTCGACTTTTTTTTGAATTATACAAAAAAATTCACACCTATAGTGTTAATGACGATTTCTTAAAATGTTGCTCACAAACGTCTTTTTTTCCCAAAACCTTAATTGATACTAATTCTAAAACAGCAATAGTTTTTATGTGACCACTGACGTAGGTGCGAAAGTTGATTTTATGTTGGACAACAGCACATGAACCTAGAGTATTTTCAACTAT